GAAGTTTTTCTTATGACTTAAAACCTAAAAGCCATAAAAAAAAATATATCATTTCAAATACATTTGTCAAATTTCATGGAAAAGTATAAGCAAAGTCAAAATACAAACAACAAATTGGGTTAAAAAAATTTTACAACTCATATAAAAAACAGTTAATCTCCCTAGCATTTAAAGAGCTCCCAGGTGCCAAAACAAAACTAGAAACAACCAACACTAAAAAAAAATGGACAAAGTAGATGAAATAACAGTTCACAGAAAAAGAAACACAATGGCTCTTAAACATATTACAAAATATTCAACTTCACACAAAATAAGAGAAATGAAAAAATTTAAGTTTCGAGGTAATTCAATGGGGAAAATATATCTTTTCAACAAGAAATGCTAGAATAATTGGATACCCATGGGGGGGAGAAACACCTCAGCCTTCTATCTCATACCATACACAAAAAGTAACTCAGAATGGATCACAAGCCTAAAAGTAATAGCTGAATCTATAAACTTTTAGATTTTAGAAGAAAACATAGGGGAAAATCTTCAAGACCATGAGCAAAGATGAGCAAAGACTTCCAGGAAATGACACAAAACCTCTAACCATTGAAAAGTTATAGGGCTTCCCTGGTGGCGCAGTGGTTAAGAATCCGCCTGCCAATGCAGGGGACACAGGTTCGACCCCTGGTCTTGGAAGATCTCACATGCCGCAGAGCAACTAAGCCCTTGTGCCACAACTACTGAGCCTGTACTCTAGAGCCTGCGAGCCACAGCTACTGAAGCTTACGCACCTAGAGCCTGCGCACTGCAACAAGAGAAGCCCCCACTCGCCGCAATGAGAGAAAGCCCACGTGCACCAATGAAGACCCAACGCAGCCAAAAATAAATAAAATAAATAAATTTAGGGAAAAAAACCTGGATAAAAAAAAAAGTTGTAGACTGGACTTTATCAAAATTAAAAGATAAAAGTGCTTTTCAAGATAAAGCACTAAGAAGTTAGAAAGGCAAGCTACAGACTGAGAGAAAATATTCCAAATATGTGCTAAAAATCATGTATCCAGGATTTACTAGGAAGTCTTAAAGCTAATACGAATCTATACTGATAAGATAAATAAGCCATTTTTTAAAGTGAGAAAAAATATTGGACAGACACTTCACAAAAGAAGACATATGCCCAATAAGCACCCAAAAGGAGGCTCAAAGTCATCAGTGACACCCAGTGAAAAAGACTGACAGCACCAAGTGTTGGCACGACTATCTTGGAATTGGTTTGTTAGTTTCTTGACCCAGAAATTCTACTCCTGAGTATTTACCCAAATGAAAACATATATCCATACAAAGACTTGTACACAGACAGATGTTCAGAGGAGGTCTGATAATCAAAACTGAAAACTACTCAAATGTCCATGAACAGATGAATATATAAATTGTACACATCTATCCATACAACAGAATATCACTAAAAATAAAAAAGAACAAACTATAAATACACATAATAACACAGATGATTCAAAAACACTAAAAGGAAAGAAGCTAGACAGAGAAGGGTACACACCGTATAGTTTCACTTGTATGAAACTCTAGAAGAGTGAAATTTAATCAACAGTTACAGAAAGCAGATCAGTGGTGACCTGGACCTGGGGGGGCGGGGGCGGGGACAGTGAGGCTTGAATGGGAAGGGACACAAGGGAACTACGTGAGTTGATGGAAATGTTCTATATCTTGATTGCGGTGGCTGGTGGTTACACGGTGTTCACATTTGTCAAAACACATCAAGCACATTTAAAATGGGTGCATTTTATCATATTGTACTTAAAAAAGTAAATGCTGGAGAAAGACAGCAAAAACCCTGTGCTTTTGCTGGGACTGAAAATCCAAGTCTTAAAAAGCAATAAACAATTGAACAACTTTAAAAAATTACCGAGATGCAATTTTTCACTTACTAGACTGTCAAAAAATCCAAAAGTTTAAAAACACATTGTGTTGGCGTGGCTATGAGGAAGAACAGACTCTCACTCACTGATAATGGGAGTGTAAATTAGAATAACCCCCAGAGAAGGCATTTGGGCAATATTAAATTAGAAACGCTTTGACCTAACAATTTCCTTTCTAGGACTTTATCCCACAGATGAACTTCGACCACAGGTGAAATAGCATATGTGAAAGATTATTACTACAAGATTGTCTGAAATAGCAAAACACACACAAAAAATCTGAATGTCCATCAATGCAAACCAGGTTAAATAAACTATGATACACCCATTCAATGGAATCCTATGTAACTACAAAACTGAATAGGGAAAGTCTAGGTGTGCTAATACAGAAAGATCCTCAACTGTAAAGTTAAGTGAACAAATCAACATTGTATTTGCTATGCTGCCATTTCTGTAAAAAAACAAAAACCAACCAACCCCCGTCCAGAAAATAATGTATTTGGATTTTCTTGTAAATGTATTTTTCTTAAATCTCAACTTCTGGAAGAATAACCAAGAAACTAATACCATGGGATACCTGTCTGAAAATATGTGGATGGAATCAGGAGTGTGAGGGGCAATTTTCATAGCACGCCATTTTAAAATTCTCTATTCAAAATTAAATACTTATTTAAAAATAACATCAGAATAATACATTATATATCAATATAGCATAATAATATAACTATCACTATTCATCAGGTTATCTTGAGGAAGACAAATATAGGAAGTGCCTAGTGCAGTACAGGGGCATACTTGGCACAGCATCAGTTACTACTGTTACCCGCTCCCCCAAAATCCCTGCATACATCCCCCTTCAGACTTTAGGTTCCAGTTTCCCAAATCGGAGGTGCCCACTGCCTCTTCCTGTGCTCTCACAGGGACTTTCCCCTCTGCCGAATGTCTTTCCCCCATTTCCTTTCTTCTCTCATCTCCATGTAGCTGTGAGTCTCAGGCATCATCTCCTCAGGAAGCCTTCTTTGATGGACACCCTTCTCCCTCCCTCCCCACACCCTGGCCCCATTAGGTGCCCCTCGTCCCCCACTGGGGACTACAAAGTCTGCTGGGTCCTCCGAAACTCAGAGGCCTTGAACCTGTGGGCTCCCTTTCCTGGAGTTCCCCTGGACAGCAGAACCAAGGAATGAGTTCCCCTGGACAGGAGGCTATTAACTGCTGGCAGCAGGCTTTGTTCTCCACCCACACAGACATCTAGAAAGGTTTGTTTCCCCTGTGATGCTGATCCTCCAACAGCCACAAGGAAAATCTGAGTTTGGGTTTCCCTTAAGCTTTCATGAGGAAGACGAGTGGGGTTTCCCCTCTTCCCTCTGGGGCACTGTGTGCAATAGCAATGGAGGGAACAGCGATGGATGGCTCGGGCATGTAGCTCATGGTCCAGCAGGGAGGGCAGGCACTTTCACAAGAACAGTGACAGACACAGTGGGGAATAGGCACAACGACAGCGCCAAAGTAGAGGGGGAACCCAGGCCAAGCAGAGAAGATCATGCCCCACCAGGGCTCACGGGAGGCGGGAGTGTGGCCGGTGGGGATTGGAGGGAAGGCTTTTGAACAGGCAGCCCTGGCTGGGCCGCCTCCAGGAGTGGAGAGAGGGACAGAGCAGGGGCAGCAACCTGGGGCTCTGGCCCTCCAGGAAGGGGCCCTGGGGCTGAAACCTGAACCCAGTGGTGGTTTGGTCTACACTGGGAGGACCTACAAGAGGCCAAGGCGGGCACTGGCAGGAACAAAAGGGCAAACTGGATGGAGCCTGGTGCCAAGGCAGCTGGAGAGGGCCCTGAGGGGGAAGGCCTGGTGCCAGATCACAGCCAGAGGCTGCTCTTCAAAGAGGAGCCTCAAATTTCTGTGGTTTTTTTGTTTTTTTAACAAGTCTCTCCAGGATGTGAAATTCATCATTTCTCAGAACCCGAGATGTCTAAAGCCCCCCTTCTCTGGGGTCCCTGAGGTTTGGGCCAGAACAGTAGGGAAACAGTGACCAGGGTTATAACAGGAGGGGCAGCTGATAGCAGCTCCTACCCCTCTCTTGAATATGATACGAGCCCCCAGCCCTGCCTTCATTAATGTTTGCCAGACCAGCTCTGTCACACCCACACCCCCCGTTTCCTGCCAAACCTCTACCCTGACTATAAACAGGAACAGAGTGCCCTGCTCCTGCCTGCTTTGAGACCGTTGGCAGGAAGGGGAACTGTGGGTGATTGAAGAGCACTGTCAGCGCTTGTGTCACCCTTCAGGGCCTGGGCCCCAGTCTGGCAGCAGGGGCATCACCTCAGAGACCCTCCAACCCACCTCCATTACCCCTATTTCTCTCCAAATACATTGTAAACATCACATTTATTTGAGGTTTTCAAACCTCCGGAAAGCACAGGAACAGCAGGGCTCTCCTTCATGCTGCCCTGGGCTCCAGTCTGTCAGGCATGCAATACCGAGCTGGGAGATGAGTAAAGACATTTTCAAGAGCAGAGCCGGGGAGGAGCCAGCCCCACTCTTTC